AAAAAAGCCAACCCAGTTCCTGCAACTATTCTTCATATGTTTTAGATTCCAGTCCCCTAATCATCTTGGTTGTTCTTCTCTGCCCTCTTTCTAGAGTCTCCAGATCTTTTCTACATCGTGGTGACCAAAACTGTATTACAAGTGTGGCCTTACCAAGGCATTATAAAGTGGTATTAACACTTCACGTGATCTTGATTCTATCCCTCTGTTTATGCAGCCTAGAACTGTGTTGGCTTTTTTGGCAGCTGCTGCACACAGCTGGCTCATACTTAAGTACTGCTATAGAACCAGGCACCACCTGTTCTATACCTGTGTGTTGGGTTTTTCATTCCTAGGTGTATAACTTCTTTTTTTCTCACCATTGAATTACATTTTGCTAGATAGGGACCAGTCTGTTGAGATCCATCTGGATCCTGAACCCAACTTCTGGGCTATTGGCTATTCCCACCAGCTTAGTGTTATCTGCAAAACTTGGATGAGTTCCCGTTCTATCCCCTCACCTAGATCGGATGGAAATTAATCAAGGAGAGAACCAATCTAGAACTAAATTTCTTGTCGGTTAGAACCATTAATCAGTGGAACAAATTGCTTCTAGAAGTTTGAGGCCTCCAACACTGGAGAATTTTAAGAAGAGATTGGACTGCTAGCCCAAAATAGTATAGGGCAGTGATGATGAACTTTTTTTCCCTTGGGTGCCAAAAGCATATGTGTGTGCTATTGCGCGCATGTGCCCACACTCATAAATGCCCACCACATTGTGCCCGCCTGCCAATGCGTGCACAACCCCCCCGCTGCCCCCTGCGCATGTGCACATGACTTTCTTGGAGCCTGGGGAGGGCGAAAGCAATCTCCCCTGCCCCCCAGGCCCTCCAGAGGCTGGAAACAGCCCATTTCCCAGCTTCCGTTGGGCCCGTTTTTCACCATCCATAGGCTCCGGAAGCTTTCTTGAAGCCTGGGGAGGGTGAAAACGGCCTCCCCTGCCCTCCAGAAGACCGAAAACTGTTTAACTGTTTATTTCATTTGTATGCCGCCCTTTTCCCCCAAGGGGGACTCAGCTGGCCAGCATGCACATGCGCGCTGGAGCTGACATAGGGCAACACCTTGCATGGCCTTGGTTATGGCCCCACACGCCCACTGGGACGCATGCCATAAATTCTCCATCATGGGTATAGGGTCTCCTGCTTGAGCAGAGGATTGGGCTAGAAGACTTGCAACAGGGGTGGGTTCTGGCTGCTGCTACTGCCAGTTCACTCAGGGATGCACTGCGCATGCGCATTATGAAAAAAATAATTATGCGCAGAAGCAAAAAACAAGATTGAGAGAACCGGTTGAGGGACGTGGCAGGCCAAGTTACTACCTACTTGGCCGAACCGGGCCGAACCAGTAGAACCCACCTCTAACCTGCAAGTTCCCTTCCATCTCTGTTATTCTGTATAAGAATCACTAGTAATTAAATACAACAATATTATGGCTAGAATGTTAACATTCGGTGCTGTCTCTCTATTTAATTCCTGGTTGCAAATTATTTGATTTGTTATGTCTATGGACTATTTCAGCAGAAAATACAAAAAATGATCAATAGCGTGAATGAAGACCAAAACTAAGCAATCTTTAAAATATATATATTATTGGCATTCACCCCGTGCTGCAGAGAGGGAAAGGAAGAAGGCGCCTTTCCATTTACAAATACTCCGCCAACATGAATTTATTATTTTTTATTGGTTGGACTGGAAAGCAACGGGAGAGAATCAACTCCAAATGAAGCATTTTTCAGAATAGGAAACCTGCTGAAAAATGCTTATCTCACATCCTGGTGGGGAGGAGACCCCAAAGAGGACTGAGATTTGAGATTATGATCGCAATCGCTTAGTTAATAAGTTTAGGGGACTGGAGGCTAAAACATATGAATGCTGTAGAAATTGGGCATGCCTAGTCTAATGAAGAGGAGGACCAGGGGAGACATGATAGCAGTCTTCCAATATTTGAGGGGCTGCTACAGAGAGGAGGGGATCAAGCTATTCTCCAAAGCACCTGAAGGCCAGACAAGGAATAATGGATGGAAATTGATCAAGGAGAGATTCAACCTAGAAACAAGGAAGAACTTTCTGACAGTGAGAACAATCAACCAATGGAACAGAAGTTGCTTTTTGAAGTTATGGGAGTTCATCACTGTAGGCTTTCAAGAAGAGATTGGACTGCCATTTGGTGGCATGGTGTAGGGTCTCCTGCTTGGGCACAGGGTCGGACTAGATGACCTATAAGTCCCTTCCAACTCTGTTAATCTGTTATGGTATAAACCACCTCTTTTCATTTTTTTAAAACCTCCCTCCGCTATCTGATCTTCGAATCAATGGATCCAATTCAAGGTGCTGGTTGTCACCTTTACAGCACTACATGGCTCGGGATCAGGTTATTTATTTCTAGGACCATCTTTTCCCAGTCACATCTACCTGACCCATCAGAGTGGGAAGGCAAGGCCTGTTTTAGGTCCTCTCTCTTAAGGAGGTTTTGCCTAGTAGGACCAAGAAGAATAGATTAGAATAACAAAGTTGGAAGGCACCTTGGAGGTCTTCTAGTTCAACCCCCTGCTCAGGCAGGAAACCCTACACTACTTCAGACAAATGGTTGTCCAATCTCTTCTTAAAAATTTCCAGTGTTGGAGCATTCAGAACTTCTGGAGGGAAATTGTTCTACTGATTAATTGTTCTAACTGTCAGGAAATTTCTCCTATTATGGACTTGCATAACTA